ACCCCAGAAATTATGTTTATCCAAGGTATTGGCATAGTGAGTCAATAAAGTGAGTGTAAATTTGGGGGACTAGGGTTCAAACCTCAACAGAGACAGCAAAAAACTAGGTGATTTATTCTCATCTGCCTGAGTCGGTGGGAGGTAGCAGGTACTCGGTGTAATAGTCAATATGCGCATAAACTAGAAAGGACGCTGTCCCCGACCACCGTTGTCACAAAAAAAAACTTGGTAACCAATTATTCAACCTTAAAGTCTTCCTAGTCTTTCCCCAACAATAGCATTGCATGTATTATCTTCATAAAAAGTAAGAAAAAAAACACCAATAGCACTACATGATCAAAAACTTACTCTTTCACATCCATTCAAAACCAAAGACCACAGTGAATCAAATGCTTATTCATTGCATTCAAAAAATACACATGAAACCCACAATTCCTATCCTTCAGTTCAACCCCATAATTTCTGAAAAGTCGACATCCCACCATGGCAAATTCCACACACATAAAACATAACAGCATTAAATACCCATATTAAAAAATAAAAATAAAATAAAAAGTCATACCTTTATGCTCTACGGCGATCATGATCTCCCGAATAATTAAGATCCACAAGCAAGTACATCAGATCTCCTTCCTCAAATTTCCTACATAAACACACACAACATTCACTGAATAAAATTCACAATAAAAAAACATAAAATTTTGTCATCTGCACGAGCGCGCGCACACATATTAAATAATTAAAGATAAAAAGTAGAAGGTCTCAGAGAATTAGAAACCTTCAGCCCCTTTGCGATCTGAGTTGCGCACTAGGAAGAAGAAAGGGAAGAAGTAGAGTAGGTTATACTTGTACTTTTCATTTATTATTAATGTTAATTCTTTATTCTTTATTGTTATTTTTAGTAACGTATTTAATCTTTTTCCCTTAATTAAATATTTCCATAAAATATGTTTTACACGTGTGGTTTAGCTACGCACGTGCAAGTTTTGGGTTAACGAAGAAAGCGTGTCCACAAAATATGATATATTGGGTTCGGATATTTTTCACAAATGAATAAAGAAAATATCCAACCACCTTTTGACTCATTGTAGCATTGGCAGTGGCAAATGGCAATTCAACCAGGAATTAAATACAATTTGCATCCCGTATTTATACTAAATCACGTCTTATTGTTCTAATTAAGTATAAAAATAAAGTGAAATGAATTAATTATTTATACATATATATATATA